CTGAATATGCCTATCGATGGCACCTATTTAACGAATATAATGCAATAATTGTGGGTTTTGTCTTCAGCTGAGGAGTCACCAACTCCACTGTCCACTCCACGGGTGAGTCAGCACCAATTTGTGCGTCAGCCCATTCTGGATCTCTCACGGAACATACCGGGCACTCCACCACCACCTCCACCAGCACCAGCTCTCAGCCAATCGCAGCCGCAACAACAGAAGACGCCCACTGGCCAACCAGCCAGTGGCAAGCCTGAGGTAAGTTTCAGCGTGTACACACCCTCCCATCTTCCTCGATCGATATCGGGTCCTCACACCTCTTTGTTCCCTCTACCCTCTCTTCTACGTGCAGAGACGAATCTGTGTTGAGGTGAGGCTCAAACAATTTTTCTTTAACTCTCTTCAACCAATGTCTGAATGCCTTACAAATTTGCTGCGCTTGCACCTTTAAACAGTTTAAACCAATAGGAGGAGAAAGTACAAATAAAAGTCTGAACTGCGGTCAATGGTGGTTGGGCATGTGTGTGGGCGTGTTTGTGTATGGAGCGAGGGAGAACTTCAGTCTATTAATTCTTTTATAGATCAGGTGTTCTAATCGTCAAAACGATCTTCTCTTTTCCCCTTCTTCCCACCCACTCCTCATTCCATCTCTTGTGTGTACGTAAATGTGTCGTGACGTCTGCATGTGACCACAAAATCAGCCTCCACTCAGCCTCCTTCCGCCGCAACCGATGGGTCTGTTAAATCTTCTCAAACAAGCTAGATTGAATCCTACTGCAAATGGGCTTTTGGGCTTGAAGCAGACTCAGAAGGTGCTTCGGGCACAGAGCACTTTGGGTGCTACTGAAGCGGAGCGTGGCAGTAGTGGATGGTTTGGCTCCATGTCAAATCCTCAAGAGGATGCTGAGGTAGAGAAGGGCGAAATGTCTTCGTCTAGCTCTTCCTCGTCTTTGGTGTCCGAGGAGGAAGCGGATGACATTATTACTGCTCCTGACGATTGTCGAAGTGAATCGGCATTCATTCTACGACCTCCCCCAGGTCCCAAGTTGAAACGGCGGCTAGCTAAGCCAAGACCCGACGAAATTATCCTCGTGGATGATGACGACACAGACGATGCGAATGGAGGTGGTTGTGTTTCCACTCAGGTTTCTGAGGTGCTTCGGCTCCAAGCCGTAGGTGTTTTCCATTAATCCTGCGGTAATAGTTGTTTTCCCCCTCTCCCCCTCCTTCTCTCCCCTCTCTTGGATGATTGTCCTTATTGTTGTCGAGACTTAATGGGAAAGGGAGTTTGGATAGCGGGCAAATTTTGAATTGTTGTCTAACACGGTTGAATTTCGTAATGTAGAAGTCACCTTAAAGTGCTGTTGTCTGTTTTTACCCCTCATCTATTCCTCCACTTTATGAGCATTAATAGGTGGGGGGAGTAATAGGCGAGTCAAGGCTAAAAGCAGACAGCCCACAATGTTTGGAGGAGATTCTTCCTAACAAATTTGAAGTGTCTCGCTTCTTCATTGCCTGAAATTGTACGTCGGATCGATGTTTGCCATGGTGTGTGAATCCTCCGTTAAATGGTCAAAGCTTTCTCCTCATTTGCATGAAAGTAGCTTCCTTTCCCTTCCTCCCCTGTTACAAGAAGTAAAGCTGTCGCCGTGTGTCTGTGCTTTCGCTTTGCGCCTCCCTTTTGTGTGTCAAATCTCAGACCTCTGTCTTCCCCCTTCCCCTTCACCTCGGTCTTCCTCTTTTTGTGCTTATTTCATTGTGTACTTGTGTGCTTTGTGCTATCACTGTTGTTCCTTTTTGCCTTTCCCCATTTTGTTTACTCTTTGTGTGGCTCTTGGTGTTGTGTATGTGTGCTTCCATGCACGCATCTTGACCTTGAATTCTATCGCTGGGACACATTGATTGCACTCAATTGGATCTTGCTCTCTGGAGCGATTGTATGAAGAAATCGAAGTGTTATGTGAACCGAGGTTTATCCGGAATTCATGCGATCGTCAAATGTGGTCCCAACAATTTAAACTTCAACTTTTTTGGAGCTGTCATTTGATATCCATGGTGATCTGATAATTCGACAGAGGAATAGTGATGATTATCACACCAATTACAGGTCTTTTTTAATCACTCAATCAGTGTGTCCAGCGGTCGTCTTCAAGGCGTGCTCCACATCCGCTTTTTCTAGTTCACATTAGCGCATTCATTTCATTTCTGTGTCCTAGGAATTGGATCGTCTTGCAGCTCAACTCACAGACATGGGCTCACGAACTCCCCTCCCAGCTAAGGTTACCAATGGTAAAAGTGGCATCGGTGGGGTTCCTACTATCACTTCTACCCCACCTTCCTCACCCTCTACTGCCTCTACACACTCCGACTCCTCAGTTTCTTCCTCCCATTCCCACTCTGACGAGAATTCGTCACCTCCCCAACGCCGTCGTCGTCACAGGGGCTCCAGCTTCCGAGATGATGCAGACAATAGACGCCAGACAGTGTTTGAAAAGATCCCTTCAGATGAGGTGGAAGGTGAAGTGGAAGTAGAGGCAGAGGATCTGGCGAACACCGCAGATGTTGACGTGGACAACGAGGAAGATGAGGAGGTCCTGTTAAAGGATCCCGATGCGGAGGACGAGGATGCTGACGACGATGATGGCGAGGTTGAGGTAGTCGAAGAAGAGGGTGAACAAGGTGCACTGGACGAGGAGGAGACAGAACATGTGAGGTCCACTCTTTCCATCCTTCGACCTTCTAGAAAGGACGATCTGGAAACTGTAGGAGGGGAAGAAAACACCTCCAAACAGATCTCTGAAAATGGTGGTGGGAAACTTTTGTGAGTTGAAAGAATGGCAGATTATTATACTAGTTGAGTAAACATTTCTCAAATCTGATAATAATTCCTCTTATCTCTCTTCTATTCTTCCCAAATTTCCCCTTGTCTTGTCCTCTTCGTTGTGTGTGGTACGCGTGTCGCTAGACGCAGACCCGAGGCACCCCCAGTTCCACACAGGGACACCTCTGCCTCACCCCCACCCCTACCCCCTAGATGTCAGCCGCCCCTTGACACCAACGCTGCTCTTGATGGTAGTGCTGGTGGTGATCCAGTGGCGTGTTTTCCCCTTTTTACGACCTGTATCAATGGGCTGCAGCTGCAGCTGGTCAGCTGCTTTCCTCCGGAACTGCTGACCGAGGCAGACCCACGTAAAGACCGCTCGCAGGTGGATGGGGAAAAAATTGACGAAAAGAGCAACAGAAGATACTCAGCTCCTCCCAGCTACCTTGTGCCAATGTTGTGAGTGTGGTGCTGTGCGCTCTAACCGCTCTAACGATGCACACTCACTGTTTCGCCTTCAACCTCTGCCGTTGTGGTTGTCGCGTCGTCGTTGTCGTTAGTGATCGTCGTGCGTCTTGAAGGGGGACTAATTGGGATTGTATTTTACCTTCCTTAGACAATCGATTTGAGCAGTCAATTTAATATTTGAGGGCCTGTCCGAACCTGAAAGGACTGAATGCGTGACTGATAGTTTGCCCCAATTGATGGATTGACGAGTGCCGCCGTCGTCATGGTTGTCGCGTTGTTGTTGTCGTTACTGGCAGTTGTCATCATTGTTGTATTCATAGAACTAGGAAAAGTTTGTAAGATAGTTTAATGGGTAATCTCTCAATGAACCATGGAAGACATGCGTAGAAGTGAGATGACTGAAGGTTAAGTGAATGAATGGATGAGTTTAGACTTAATGTTTGTTTGGAGGGAGGAATGGCATTAATG